ATACAACGCGTATACTACAGTGTGTTAATTAATTATCGTACCCGACGTCATCATTGCAAGTATGCAACCAATATCACAGTGCAATACGCATCATACGCAAATCGTGTATTGCAATACCAATATTGTCATAATGGTTGCATACTTTCAATGATGACGTCGGGTATGATAATTACCACACTGTATATTAAAGTAATTCAATTACATTATTTTAAAAATTTGAATTATTTCCAGGTATTATTCAATATTCAATACAATATAAATGCAAGTTGTTTTGAAATCGATATGTGTGTGCATACAATACGATTTATGAACAACTAAACAGTTTAGTCGGTTATAAATTGATAATGCATCGCGATTTCAAACCAATCCAACTAAACTGTTTCGTTGATGAATAATCGACTGTGTGTCCTTAACCCTTTAAGGACGGCTTCAAAATTTATTCGCTTACCTCTCAGACGGCACCGATGTTATTGCCGCACAGACGACCGCCGTATATGTACGGCAACAAATGTTTGCTATGTTTATAGGCGATTTAATTGTTTATCTATGGAGAAATAATGAAAAGAGAAATCAGAAAATTATTTATTGTACATATGAACAACAGCAACTTTTATTTCTTTCAGTATTGGTTTTTAGTGTGGTAAATTTCGAAGCAAGGCGTCAGACACAACCCCACGTTGCAAATGGTACACATGTACCGTGAATCTTTCCTCTTTCTGGGTCCTAAAATTGTTTGCGAACATACTACACATCTTCTTTGAGGTGTCTTATTTGTCGGTGTTGCAGGAACAACGTGAGGAAAATGTTTTTCCACCAACCTTCTAACATCTGGCACACCACGAGCTATTCTTATAGTAGGGTAGTCAAGAGGAAACCTGTGTTAAATATGAAGTTAAAAAATGTTACAATTCAGGGGTGATACTTACTTTTCAAAAATTTGCCGAATAAGTTTCAGCTGGAAATCACCAAAAGGAATTTTGTTAACATTTTTTGTTTGCATCATTGCGTGCGAGTTTAGAATTAATAAATCTAATGAGTGGAAGAAAAGTTTCTTGTACCACTTCATACTTTTGCGCATGCATTCTATATTGCTCAACATCATATCTGTGCGATCAACTGCTCCCATTCTCTCGTTGTAATTGATTACACACAGTGGTTTTTTCGTAGCCTCATTTGTTCGCTTGTCAATTTTATCCATGATTACTATTTTGTTCTCGTGCATTGTAGATATCATAGTTACGTCGCGGCGATCTTTCCATTTTATGACAAGAATTTTATCGCTACTTTTCGAACACAATTCGCCCTTCTTCAGTTTTTTTTTCAGTGTAGGCATATATTTTCTATTTTCACGCACAGTTCCACAGGTGTTCGTTTTTTTTTCGAAAAGATAATTTGCCAAAATTGGGCTGGAATAGTAGTTGTCTGTGAAAAGCTTGTGTCCCTTGTCAAGGTATGGTTTCATAAGAGACACTACGACAGATCCTGAAGATCCTAGACCCTTTATTTCTTCAACAAATTGTTTTGTATCATTTCCAACATACACAACGAAATCAAGAACCATTCCAGTTTCACAATCACAAAGAACGTACAGTTTCATTCCAAAGCGATGCCTTTTCGTCTTTATGTATTGTTTAAAGCTTAAACGTCCTTTAAATAACACCATGCTTTCATCAACAACTAAATTTTCAAACGGGTAGAACTGTTTTTGGAAGTTCTCCTTTATGAGTTTGAGGACTTTTTCTACCTTATATAGTTTAGTCGTAGGTTGTTTTTCATTATTCACAAAATGAAGATTTGAAAGAATACTCATATATTTGTCCCTAGGCATGGTTCTAGAAAAGATTGGAGACTCGAGCAAAGAATCTGTAGACCAATATTCTTTTAAATTAGTTTTTTTGTTTCGAGACATTAGCATTGTTAGACCGATAAAAACATAAAATTCTTGTGTTGAAAGTTCTTTCCAATCCTTTGCCTGATTTTGATTAGCATATCGGTTAGTTTCGGTTACAATATATTCTACGATATCTTCGGTAAATAGGCTTGCAAAATAATCAAATTCTATGGACTTTTCAGACAAAGAATCATTCCTGATGCCGCTATTTGTAGGATCAAATTCGAAAATTGTTGGAACGAAATCACTGTCTCCCCAAATTATTTTTATGTCGGCGTAATCTTTTTCTGTCGTCGCTAGGTCGGTTTCTAGTTCATGATTACTGTCTTCACTTACACTTTCTACTAACATTACATCTTGATATTCATCAATTAACATATCATCTTCTTCAGACTCTTCATCTTCACTTGGTAAATATTCGCTTCCGCTGTCTTCAAATGGCTCTTCATCGCTGCTGTCCACGTAAAAATCCATTCTGTAGGACATTGTGCACAACACTAATCATCCGTTTCACTTATTACGGAAAATATATCACTTATAAAAAAATATAGAACATGTGGTGTTTTTGAACATTGGCCACGTGTGTAAAAACAACGCTTATATACGGCGCTCGTCTGTGCAGTACAAAATTTTGTGCCGTTTAAAAACGGCTTTCGCCTATAAGACACAAATTTTAAATTGAGCCGTATATGAATGGCAATAGGTCATAAGACACTCAAAACCTTTTGCGTATATATACGGCGTTCGTCTCTGGGACTGTTTTTTGTGAAACGTATATATACGGCAATCGTCCTTAAAGGGTTAATTGGTGTTTTTGGAACAGTTAAAATTTCCAACATAAAAGTGTCTTGCTTAAGTAAATAACTCGAATAACTCGATTGTTGGATTTAGATCAGGTTTTACTTGTTGTATTGCTTTGTTGGATGTTGCGAATGACGTAATACTGGCAGTAAGCTAGCTGCAGTTCTTAT